GACCCGCAGCCCCTGTGGCCGTTAACCCTTTCTCTCCCCAGGTGCTCTGCGGGCGTTACGTCAATCAGCACATGCTGGCTCACGGCTCGGTTTCCGGCCACCCCCTGGTGCTGAGTTACGCCGACCTGTCGGTCTGGTGCTACACCTGTCAATCATACGTCCATCACCCGGTAAGCCACGCCTCCCTTCATGGTCACATGACACAGCCCCCCCTCCAGGCTGGTCAGGGTTCCCCCTCTACCCCTGCCTATGTGAGGGGTGGGGGCAGGGGGCAGATGGGGGGGGCGGTTGCTGATTGGCTGGGGCTGAATGGGTTAATTCTTGGGGCTGGGATGTTCCTCCCCCTGCCTTCGTTGCCATAATGGAGCGTCCCAACTTTGGGAATAACACTCCCCCGTCCCATTGCTAGAATGGAACATCCCCCCCATGAGCAAGTCACACACCTGTCCCACCTCCACCCCTGCTGTAATGGAATATTCCAGCCCCAGGAGGAACCCCCCCCCAGTGCATAAGATAATGGAATGGTCTGATGCCATGTGTGCCCCCCCCCAATGGGGGGTAATTTCCTGGGTGGGGCATTCCATTGTGTTGAAGGAATTGGACCGTCCCATTCCCTGGCAACGGGGGAGTGCACCAATCCCTTCTCGCCAGTGATCATGTGATTCCTGGGGTGGGATGGTCCATTGTGGTGCCGGGAAGAGTATACTCTGCAGGGACTATTCCATGTTCCTGGGCGGGGGAGGGAGGAACATTCCATTACAGCAGGAGGAGACTGCCACTTCGGGCTGGGCTTCTCCGTCACTGGTCGCTAGGGTCCCCCATCTGCAGCCGTTGGCTGGGTCCATTCTCTGCTGACTGGGGGGGGGGGGGCGGAATTACTGCTGGCTGGGATGATCCATTCTCCCTGGCTGTGTCATGCCTTAGGGTGGGATATACTACTACGGGTGGGGGGGGATTTAGTGTCTGGGGCAGCACATTCCCTTATGTAGCAATGGGCGCTTCCAGGGACTGTTCCATTCTCTCCGGAGAGTGGGGGGCGTATGCATGGAGGCTGGGACATTCCATTATTGCCGGGGGGGTAGGCGGTTCCATTGTCCAGGGCGGGGGGCGTAGGCCAGCCCATTCCATTCTGACCTCCGTTCTCTCCCTGTCCCAGACCCTGCTGCCAGCCAAGGCCCTGGCTCACCGCATGAAGTTCGGGGAGGACCCGGCCACTGGGCTCTGAGCCCTGCGCCACAGGCAAGGGGGGGGATGTTCAGATCCCCCCCCCCACGCCTCCCTCCATGATGGACCAACCCACTCT